CCTCACACTGCCCTCCTCCTCCTCCCCTCACACTGCCCTCCTCCTCCTCCCCTCACACTGCTCTCCTCCTCCCCTCACACTGCCCTGGGCAGGGGTGGGGATGGGGGGCATGGGGGGACCCCAGGGAACACAAAGCACTTCCTGGCGTCCACTGGCAGCTGCCCTGATCTGACCGCACACCTCCCTATGGGGAGGGAGGCACAGTGCCTGGCAAGTGGTGCGGTGCCACTGCAGGTCACCCCTGCCTGTGGGGACATGTCAGAAAGCCCCAGCGGGGGCAGCTCTGAAGCAGGCGGGGTGGCCAGTGATGGCTCCCGGGCAGGCAGCAAGGCCAGCACTACTGCATGCAGACTGCCGAGGAAGGGACAGGCAGCTGTCACCTGCCTGGTGTTCTCTGTGGCCTGGCAGGCCCAGACCCTGCCCTTGAGGAGCTCCCAGCAGATGGGGTGGAGGGAGGACCCGGCAGGACTGAGCTGACAACCCCAGGGTCAGGCACCGCTGGTCTCCAGGGGGCAGACAAGCTGTGGTCAGCAGGGGCGAGAGCAGGCCTCAGCTTCCCTGCTCCAGGCTCCCACTTCACACGCCCCAAGGCACACCTGGCCCTCCCCGAGCACCCTGCACCCATCGCCTGCCTGGTACCACCCATCTGTGCTGATGGCAGCAGCTCCTGGGCACTCAGGGCCTCAAGGGCCAGAGGGTGGGACCTTCTTCAGGTAGCAGGTGAGACAAACGCTTTAGAACCAAAAATGACCGAGGGCCAGGGACTAAGGGCCCGAGGCGGCCGGGGCAGGCTTCTGTCTCCCCCCTCGGGCTCACAAGGCCCTGACCGCTCAGAAGAGAGACCATCCATGCCTTCCTAGCTGACCCTGTGTCCAGGAGGCATAGGGCTGCATGGACTTCTGCTCCCCACCCTGTGGGGCCCTGACCAAACAGATGGAGACAGACCAGTGTGAGGGGTTTCTTCTGAACACGGAAAACCAGTGTGATGCGCCAACCAACAGAGAGGCTTGCCCTCCCAGCCCCAGCCAATGACCCTGTGAGTGACGGCCACACGGACCCCTGAGGGCTTTCCCCCTCCTGGGAGGAACTCACTCCTCAGCTGCACACGGTCTGACCACACCATGGGTCTTGGCAGCCAAGCTCGAGCAGCTGCCACTAGGGCACATGACCGCAAATGCCAGGTCAGCAGCAGAGTGAGGAGGAACTGAGGTGAAGCCGGCACCGTGGGAAGGGCCAGGACACGGTCTACACCAACCCCATACCCAGGTCCCCTGGGGGTTCAGGTGGTCCCTGGCCACTCAAAGACAGGAGCCTGGTGGTGAGGGCAACATGGGCCACAGCCACAGGCTCCCTTCTCTGAGTCCCTTCTCCCTGGCAGCGACCTTTCTGAATGACAGCCTCCTCACCCCTGCGAAGCTTGGGGCCTCTGCTGTGGAGAGGCTGGAGCACCCACCTGCCACCCGCCCAGTGTGGCCTGCGGCCCTCCCCTCCCCAGCCCTGTCGTGGTCTGCAGGCAGGAGCGCACAGGTACATCACCCCTGGTCTCTGCATGGGCCATGCCCTCTGTTGGAATGCCAGTGTGAGTGACCGCCCCTTGGTCAGACCTCTCCACCTTTAAGACCCAGCTCAAGAAGATAAGCGGTTGCCAGTGCAGGAGTGCAGGAAGAGCCCAGAGCACCCAGCAGGCACGTGTGGTGTACACAGTGGGCCGGCTCTAGTAGCCCCAGATGGCGCACGACCTACTGACCATCGTGGGTTAGGGTGGCAGCCGGCTCAGTTATCACGTGTCTGATGGCGGCATCCTCTCTATGGACACAGCTGAGGGGAACAAAGGCCTCCCTGCAGGGGCAGTGTCTTGAGGGGACAGTGAGACCCCGGTAGAACTGAGGCAGAGCTGGGGGCCAGAGACAGGGAGGAGGAGAGGAGAGGGCTCGCTTTTCTGAGTCCAGCCAT